ATATACGGTATATAGAGATAGATTGCGAAATATAGGCGAGAAAATATATAACAACAACGGAGAGGAGCCAGCCACACATAATTGGCTTTGTTCGCCCAACAACAAACAACTACTCGTGGATCGAATAATAATTGGCTGGGAATCTGCGATGCGATGTATACCTGACGCTGCTGACGATCAGCTATAGCTAGCTCGCGATCCCTCATTAAATTGTTTTATATATTATGTATACCTAAGCGAGGTGGGAGAGAGAGAGAGAGAAAAAGAGAGAGATATCGACACTCGGGCAAATATTATGATCGGAGCACCGATACGGCGTGTCGCTTTTGATTTTTCGCTGATTCGCAGCAGCAGCACCGCCCGATTCGAACAAACGAACCAGTTGAAAAAATTTCATTGCACGAGACCCGCGGGGGCGCCGTCGAACAAAAAAAGTTGAGCGCGCGAAACATCCGGAATTGCCGCTGCCTCTCACGCAACGACGAAACTAAATAACGAGCGGCGAGAAACGAAATTATACGTACGGAATCGTGTCATTATGTGGCTGAAAGTTGGCAAATATTCTCGCGGGCAAACTTTTTCCCTGCCTCGCGAGTTTGACTGCATACACACACTCACGTGTGCGCTGCATTTTGTAAACGTGGTACGTACGCCCCGTGTCTTTCGAGAGCACCACACATAAGCATAACAAACTCACACACACACATGCACGCGCGCGCATGCCAGGCCGAGGAAATAATTTCTCTCCCGCTTTTGTGGATAAATTTCGGCATTATATACGGACCGACGCCGTCGTGTGTATGCGCGCGCGCGTGTGTGTGTGTGTGGCCGCTGGTACCACGGCGTATTTCATCAATCTCGAAAAAAGTTCATTAAAAAATATACTCGGGCCTGTGTAGACACGTGCCAACGAGAGCAAAGAATGCAAACGCGATGTAAAGCTCTGCGTACAAAGTAAATTTTTCCTCATATCGCGGCTGTTATTCGTGTAGTTTCATATATAGTACAGTGGAAATTACATCGTTCGAAGTTCTGTTATTCGAATTCTTCGAATTGCGTGACACTAAAACACGTAATACTTCCTACGATTCAATCAAAAAAGAGATTTTTAGAAATGAAAAGTTAAAATATTGTTTATCACAACGCCTCTTCTTTATTTTGTAAAAAGGTAAAATATTTTGAAAATTTTTCAATTTCAGTGGCATTCGGTAATAGTGTCTGTGTTTGACTTTTGATTTTTTTTTGATTCTAAGTTGAAATACTAGTTTCGTATTTATTCATTTTCTTACGATAAAATTTTTCACTAAATCTCATGGGAAAGATTTCAAAAGGGTTTGTTGTTATTTTTGTCGTTGCCAATAATCAATCAAGGAGCGCGTGTTGGGCTCCGAATCCCGCCTTGCACCATCATCAATTTCACTGCCCTCTCCAAACTTGACTCTTACTTATTCCCGAAACTTTGCCTTTTCTCTTGTGATTTGCTAGAATTCGGGCACGCGCCATCTAGCGGTAACTTAGTAACTACTCAATGTTTTGCTCGATCGCGGACGAGGTTTGCCAACGTCTGAGAGAAGACTTAAAATGAAATGTATTAAGATCATTTCTACAGTTCTAATTCATATTTATCAAACACTCGAACGGTTTCTGATCGTATTTTAAAAGTTTTTGCATTGGAAATGAAATATCACATACATACAAAACATTTTGAAAAAAAATTGACTACTGCGAAATTTCCTTTGAACAATGCAATTTTTTTATTAATTATTTTAGAAAAGGACTCGGTGATTTTTTTTGCGCAGGTGCATGGTACAATTTTTTTTCTCGAATATTAACTAACATTTTCAATCTAATTCTTTCGTTTATTATGTGATATATTTTGTCAAACATCTTCCGAAAGTTATTTTGTAGCTATTCATATTGCAAAATAAAATTTATCATTTCGAGCTTATTATGGCGTCGTATCGTATAATTATCCAACTTTAGCATGGATACAATTTAATGATTAATCGATTAACCTGGCCTAATCTGATTTCGCTCGGGTTCTAAAACGTATACGACGATGCACGAGCGCAAAAACGAATCTATAGGTGTTACAAACTCGGCTAATAAGTCATAATGTCATATTGTCGGGGATGGAAATGAAAAATCGTAGAAGCGAATTCACAATGCAAACTGTGAAAAATCAAAAGAAGACGAGGAAGTTTATAGCTCGGAACGGCTGGATATATCGAAGTTTCATTATTTAGCTGGCCGCGATATATATAGAGAGACAGAGAGAGATAGAGAGGGTGCAGGGGGATATATAGGCAGAGACGAATACATCGAAGAAAGCCGATAAGTTTAATGAAAAGTTGCTTCGTTAAAGTATATATATCCGACAAAAGAGAGACTCGTTATACAGAAAGAGAGTAGTGCTGCTATACTGCGACGAGGCCGACCCCCAGAGAGAACTGATACTATCTTTTTTTCTCACTCGACCTTAATTTTTTTTCTCTCACCTCACACTCCGCTGGACTATCTGGCTCTCTCTCACTCAGTCACTCTCTTCATGCTCGTTTTGTTTGAGCGTTCCACGCGCTTGTGTTTTGAATCGTCGAGCACATTCTCTCGCTCTCTCTCATCTCTGCTCGTAAAGCATACACACACGGAGACACACACGGCCGCTTGTGATTCGGGATTTCGAGCTCAAATCTAGTTGGCATTTAATACCCGAGTTAATTTTCTCGTACATACACACACACACAAAACCGATCGAGTCTCTACACAAAATCTAAGTACATACACACAAGCTCGCGCACATTCAATCTTCATAAACACACGTTACGTTTGCTTTTATATCTCGATTCGCAATCTCGGCGAGCTTAAGCAGCTGAAACATTGCCCTGTGCACACACGCTCATGCATGGCATGGCATGCATGCTTACTTGTAAACACAAACACACACGCGTACAAAATCACGTGTACGTGTAAAATAATAACTTAACTCTCTTCATTGCAGCGCGACTCGCTATACACACATAATACGTAATAACATTCGCGCGCGCGCGACAGGAGTGCAATGACCTTCATGCGTGGGTGGGTGTGTGTGTGTGTGTGTGATATAAGAAACGTCGCGCTTGCAGCGAGCTGGCGTACCGAGTGCATACCGTGCCTTTACATACTCACACGCACGCACACACACACACACACGTATTGTATATATGTTAAATGTATGCATAATATCGATATATACGCTCGCGCCGAAAGCTCGGGGCACACGACGCCGCCGCCACGCAAGCTCGCACACGTACATACATACAGATATATATGGGTACGAGCTTGCGCAAGCTCATTCCCTTTTCGCCTATATATTATATCGCCGTATACACACACGGCGATATATATATATATATATACGTGTGCGCTACGTAAGGAGTTGCAGCAGCGAGTGCGCGAGTTATCGGGGCCAAACACACACACACACATACACAGCGGGGGGAGCGCAGAAATACGATTTTGCCGTGTAATTAAATTACTCTTTGGAGCAGCAGCGCCGATGTATTATAGGGCGAAAAAATGCTGCTGCTGCTGCTGCTGCTGCTGGCGCGCGTACTTTGTGCATTGGATTTCAATGGGTGTATGTATACGTACGGTATAATACAGCGGCAGCAATCGCAGAATGCACGTATAAGCAGCATACAATTCGTATATAGCCGCTGCTTTCGCGTAGCGCGCGAAATGCGAATGCGCGTATGGCCGCTTATACAGATCTCCCTCTCTCTCTCTCTATCTACACACTACCCCGCGAAGCTCGAGCTTGCAGCTTGAGCTTTATGCATACACGTATACAAAGTCTCGAGAATGCGTCGGAGGAGATGCTGCTGCTGCTGCTCGGGAAAAGAGAAACGAAACTGCACACGAGCTCGTATTCATCCCTCTCTCGCTCGCGCGCCACTACTACCGCCAGCAGCGGTAGTATAGCTCGAGCATCTCTGCCAGGTAGTATAAGCTTAAATGCGTACAAACTAACATTAGCGTATACCTGCTTATGCTCGGGGCTCGAGTCTCTAGTAAGTCGAGTACTTTCCAACGAGTCTACACACACTCGCGTATACGTGCGTGTATATATACGCCGTGCACCCGCGTATAGATGCATAAGTCAGCCTTATATATACGCTAGCTAGAAAACTTGAAAAAAGGAAATCCGGAATTCCGCGTCGAGTGTATGTGCGCAATTTTAAATCTATTTTTAAGGGTAGATATGTAGCATGCCCTGCGCATCGAATCACTATCTCTCTTTCTCTCTCTCTTTTTCTGCTACATTTCGTATGAGCTATGTGTATGACCAGACGCGCATAAAATGAGCATAAAAAAAAACGACTACGACGACGACGAGACCGAGAGGACTAGAGCACAGATTACAGATATATATGTGTGCCGAGAAAGAGAGAGAGAGAGAGCGAGAGAGTGGCAACAGTGATAAAAAGCAGAAAATAATAGTACTCGAATCACAGATGAAGAGATTACAAGCGAGAAGAAGAAGGAGTGAGGGAGCTGGATGAAACTCGCGTTTATGAGACTCTATACAGCAGGCAAGAGAGACGCGGCGCGGCGTACACATCCGAAAGCAGCTCCAAGTGGCTTCCCTAATTGAAAGAGTAATTAAGCTGTTCAGTTTGTCTTTCCCTCTCTTTCCCTATCTTGGTCTATATACACCCTCCCTTCAGCCACTATCTCTGGCCTCGCGCGCGGGCGCGCTATATACAAGCGTATTTATATATCCATGAGCTGGTAGAAAATTCGCCACGCTATTCAGCTTATATATATACATATACGCGCGCGCTATATACTTACGGCTTATAAGCGTGTGTGTAAAGCTCGCCTCGATCGCTCGTACAGCCTAGCGTAACTGACCACCGCTACCCTATATATAATATATACGCGCGATTCAAAACGTCTCTTTGTATGTGTGTCTGTGTGTGTACTTATAATAATACGCGTATATGTTAGGGATTACTCACCTCGGCATATATGTGTGTCAATGCCGTCGTCGTCGTCGTCGTCCACCTCCTCCTACTACTGCTATAACTGCTGCTGCTGCTCCTCTTTGGCGGTAACCGGCTTCTTCCGCGCTGACACTTTTTCCGATCATCGACGGATTAAATAACACAAACTAGCAACAATGGCAACGACGAGACACTTTTTGTCATATCACCCATTTGAAAATACATACGTTGTTATATTATACGCAGCGACGACTGCGTTACACTTTTTTTTATTTTTCTTTTCTTTTTATATTTCAATTGTCTCGCGCACCGCACAGCTTTTATGCATTTACTTATTCATTCATTTATTTATTTTCAACTAAAAACATATCACGAAGAGACAGGGGAAAAAGCTCGTAACCAAAAGAGTCGTCGCACTCGCTCGCAAACTGGGCTAAATAAAAGAGAGAAAAGGAAAGAAAATAGAAGAAAAAAATAAGAAACCGCGCGCGAGCAAAGGACAGTCACCGCAGCAGCTATATAGTGGCAACAGCTCTCACACGTATACGTATACACGATATATAAACTATATAATACGGAGAGAAATGTGTGACTCTCGTCGATGGGAGAGGAACTTTTGGGGCGAGTCACGTGGCAACGAGCTGCAGCATCGCTCGAACTCTCGTATTCTTGTTGTATATAGAGAGAGAGATATGCGTGTGCGGCCCGACGACGTGTTTCTGCGATACTCACTTGTATATTCTCTCTGTCTACTCTATACACGAGCGAGCTTTCCTCTATATAAACCCGTGCACGCCCGTGCTGCGTACGTACGGCAGTTATAAGCCTTTCTCTCTCTTTCACTCTCGACGCACGCCTAGGCTCCGAGTGACACGAGGAATATATACACACATTGATACAGTGACTGAGATAGAGAGAGAGAGAGATACGTGTATGGCCTAGTCAGGGCACCATAGAAAATGCAGTATAGTATATCACAAGTAATATCGGTTTGTATTATTCATAATACAGTTTTGATCCAAGTAGTCGTGGGTATGCACTATATGTGACAAGCAGTCGTGTGGATGCGTGTCGCCGCGCGTGTCACTGAACGAGATCGTATGCACGCGTATCGTAAATGTATGCCTATGGGGTGGTGGTGGCGAGTGAGCGGGGAACTCGCCGCCACAGGCAGAGAGAGAGAGTAGGTCAGTCGCGGCGACACACGAGCGCGACGGCAGCGGCAACGGCACTACCGCTGCGTTATACGCAGCCACGGCACTCGGCTGACTCCTCGGCGAGCGAAAGAGGCAGCAGCGGCGGCGGCAGCGGCGGCGGCACCCTCTTACCGCCTCTGCGTGCGCAGCTCTCTCTCTCTCTCGGGCAGTGGTACTACAGTGGTAGTAGGTATGCCATCCACCACCATCCCCTGCAGCTTGACTGCTGCTGCTGCTACATGCACATACATGCTCCGCTGCTGCCAGCTACCTACCCCCCAGCTGCATGTACACACATGCACCACGGAGTGCTGTGTGTGTGAGAGAGGCTCGCTGCAGTCGCAGGCGGAAAATAAAGCTGCACTGCCACACATTTTCTCCTCGCCGCCCTGCCCCCCAACTCGAGTCAACGATCGCGACGCCCGCGATCGTGCGTGCGCGCTCGTAAATGCGCTTTAATATATGTATACATACATTTCGTACTGCGAGCTGCAATCGACGATGTAATTAGCCTCGAGAGACGTACCGCGCGCGATATCTCGCGCGACCCATCGATATGACGATACGACGACGATGATGTTGATCGATGAGATTTTGCTCTCTGTGTTATAAGCACGAGAACGAGAGAGGAGATTTGTGCTGACTTTGGCCAACCCCCCGCTGTGCTGTTGTATTGCTGCTGCTGCTGCTGCTTCCAGCGTATACACACACACAGTGCAGCCATGGTATTATACATCAGAGACGCGTATATAGCGCGACAGCTTATTTATTATCACACGCGCGAGCGCTCGCAGTAGCTGCAGCAGCAGCGGCGCGCGACATTTATACCTGCCTATATAGCCTGGCCTCTCGACTGTACTTCTCGCTTGCTCTCTCTCGTGGCTGCTGCTTCTGCTGAAATTGACGGAAATTCGATAATCCCCGAGCTATATTCCAATCGTTGATTCGATAAACGCGTCTTTCTCTCTCTTAGTCCGTGTATTAAATAACGTTTCTGTTAAATACCGCAACGAAAACTCAGAACTTGCGACTAGATCGTCGCTCGGTACCTGTCTCGAGAGAGAGAGAGATCTGCATAATACGCGCGACTATTTTCGCCCTGCGCTTTTGGCATCCGCTGCCGGTGTATGCGCTCCTTTCTTTATATCCTTATACGGACATTACCGGCGCGCGACTTTGCAATATTCTGAGATCTCGAGCGAATAAATATCACGCAGCCGCGAGAGTCTATACTCTCACACATATCGAATGCAGAGAGAGAGATCCAAATCGAAAAAGTCTGCGTCGCGCGCGCGCCCAAGTACATTTCGCGAGCGAGACGACGAAAGAGAGAGAGAGAGAAAGACTCTTTCGGCGACGTGCGGTGGAAGGCGCGCGCGCGCGCCAGAGGCCATAAAGTCGGGAAAAAAACTTTTCTGCCGGTATCGCGAAGAGATACTCGAATACGTATATATACGTATGCGCGTTCGAGGATCATTGTTGAGAGGCAACTTTTGGAATTTCCATCGTTTAACCTATCTGTATGATATCGTATATAAATAGATGGATAGAAGGGATACTAGCTGATGTAAAAATAAACTGTCGGCGCGCGCGCTCGCGCGGAGGAGCTCACGGGGACGCAAAAGTTGTTGCAAATAAAGATGCGGCGAAATTTGCAAAGTTGAGACGAGCTGCGGCGGATCGTAGAGAGCTCCTGGCCGTTTATACGTAACATATACCAGCTGGGAAATTGAATAGTCTCTCTCTATCGCGGTGAGATCGGTGAGCGCGACGAGAAAAAAGTTGGTTGTCATTTCGGAGTCTCGGCATCTCTCTCGCCTCGCACCCAGTGCACAATCGTGAGTTGTCTCGTTGCAGTTCTCGCGCGCGCGTGTGTGCGTGAGTGTGTTCCATAGCGAGGCATCGCGCGATAATTAGCGCTAATGCATTTGGCCAACCTGCGCCGCTCGGTCGGTCCGCAGCGTCTATAGCGCCCAATAAGTGCATGCACTTGCCATAGCCAGCTATAGCTGCGGTGCACACATGACTTACACAGAGTCGAACGAGCTGCGTATACGTATACGTGAACGCGTTGTGCAGGTTCGGTTTATAGGTATATATATATATAGAGCTGCCCAAACCGACGCGGGCGCAATAGGAAACTCAAAGCTCGGCCTCGTGCTCCGCTGCTGCTGCTACTGCCACATAGATACTATATGCAGCGCGACGTGTGGCCTCGGGCTTCCAACGACGACGGCGCAACAACTATTATATAGCTCGAAACTTTGCGTCTAGATGACCATCGCTCGCTCGAGTCCAGGCGCGCGCGCCCGCGTCCACCTATACATACATAGTGACACATACACCTATACACGCTGCACACAGCGTGTGGCATAGCCAAAGAGCGTCCGAGCGAGGTAATTCCGTTAGCGAACGATGCCGTACTCGCTGCCTCCAGTTACACACACACACACACACACTATAGGAGCGAGCTGGCCTTATTATTTCAGAGCTTTTGCCAGTCCTCGCGCCTCGTCGGAACACCAAGTGGCAAAAGTAGTTTTCGCGGCAACTGCATTATGTATGACGACGGCCGTCGCTTCTGCTGCTGATGCTACTGCTGATGCTGAGTGCGTCGTGTATAGAGAGAGAGAGAGAGTAGTATATGAGTTTGTTATAATGATGATGATGACGATGATGCGCCGGAGAGCCGGAAGGGGTGCGCGCGCTACAGTTCGCTGGGCGATTATCCGCGAATTTTACCCGTACACCCCAGCGACTGCTGCTGCTGCTGCTGCTGCGCTTTTTCAATGAAAAGCTGCCCGAAGCTCGAAAAGATCGGATCATCGGCTCAGCGCGCGCGCCAGGCCGGGCTTAAAGCTTCATTCGAGATACCGTCGAGCTGCGAGAGAGTCTAAATAGCGAATAATTATAACGAGGCGATCTTTTATATCGCCCATCCGCGCAAACATCGCTCTGCAGAGTCGTTGTCACATTTTTTTAACTTTTTCCGGGGGTTTTGTTTTTTTTTTTTTACCGCCGTTTTGTTTCCCGAGAACCTCGGGCTGGTTCATAGAAAGCAATTGATTTTTCGTCTCAAGGTAAAATGCCTGCCTGCATATACTCTACACACACACACACGCGCGGTGCACGGCAAGTGCTATAAGCGCAAGCGAATATTAATACGAACACACACGGACACACAGACACCACAGCCCCGAAGAGAGATAGCCGAGCTTGATAGAAATTCAAGGCGAGCGACCGATTTCTATATGTATTTATAAAACAAAATCGCTTTTCCATTCTTCGCTCGTATATTATTCAGCAGCTTTACTAACTCATTATATTTTCTGTCGCTGCTATCCACGCTGACGCTACCATTGCCATGCTTATCGATCACACACGCGCCTGAATCGGAAGAATATACATACACGTATCTTGCAATGATTCATCTTTGAATTATTTATCGCTTCGCTTGGAAATCGCGAATGAGAATTGATCAGAATTACATGGATAATTTATTTATTAATAACTGAAACATTCAAGCGTTAATTACTGACACTGGTTCTTTTATTTTGTACTTGAATACTTTTTAGATCATTTCAATTGTGGATCGAAATGCGCCATCTAGGGATGGATTTCGAATGATCGATTGAAAGATTTTGATCAAATGTATGTATTCATTTTTCACTTAAATACTTTATAGAACATTTTAGTTGTGGGTAGAAATACGCCATCTAGGAACAAATTTCGAATTACAAAATAAAACGAGTAGAGCTTTTAGCAGGTAAAACAATTCACTTGCGAAATAAAGTTACATTGGAAATCCACGCGTTACAAGTAAAACGAGCATTTAAGTAAGATGTGTTATCGAAATTGAAAATA